CAGGCGCTAGGTCTCGCCGACTGATAGAAGAAGAGGAGACCAACCGGCGCTAGGTCTCGCCGATTGATAGAAGAAGAGGAGACCAACCGGCGCTGGGTCTCGCCGACTAATAGAAGAAGAGGAGACCAACCGGCGCAAGGTCTCGCCGACTGATAGAAGAAGAGGAGACCAACCGGCGCTAGGTCTCGCCTATTGATAGAAGAGAAGAGAGAAGACCAACCGGCGCTAGGTCTCGTCCACTGACAAAATAGAAGAGAGAAGCCCAACCGGTACTAGGTCTCGCTGACTAATAGAAGAAGGAAGAAAGACAACCAACACTAGGTCTCGCCAGTTGACGAAAGAAGTTAGAGAAGATAGAGACGAAGAGAGAGAGAGAGAGAGAGAGAGAGAGAGAGAGAGAGATAGAAGAGAGGAGGGAGGAGAGAGAAGAAGGAGGAGAGAGAAAGTTACATGCTACAAAGGTATCGGCTTCTTCTCTCTCTCTCTCTCTCTCTCTCTCCAAGATGTACTCACAAGCTCAAGCAAGAACGGAAATTTTATTGAATTCTCCAAGAATGAATCGAGCATTTTTTTTTCGTTTGTCTCGAGGTCCTTTTACAATGCGGCAATGCCTAAAAATTAAGATTTAATTGAATTAAAAAAAATTCTAAAAATGGGTATAAAAGGACTGTTTTGCCCCTGCCTAATAATGTGTGGAATTCCATAACAGTCCCTGTCGCTGCCCAAGAACTTGTGTGATCTTCTATGGTTGACCCGGGGTTGTTCTGATGCTCGTCTGATTGAAAGATTATTGTTTTCATGTAGGGCTCGACATGGCGATCATGTTGATACCAATTTCGGGCTATGAACCATGTGTTTGAGTCATGATCACGAGACTTGAAATTTGTTTGAAAATCTTGAAAACTTTGGGTCGATAGTGCGATCTTTCCTTAATGTTTTTATGTGATTTTTTTTATCGTAGCGCACTAAGCATGTCATCACGATCACGTGGCAACAAACGAAACGCAATTTGGAGTCTGAATGAAGATTTTGCGACTTTTGAGTTTTTGCCAGAATATGGAATCCAACGGACGGAATTTCAAACTTTGCCAGCTTTGTGCATGAAATCTGACAGTCCATTATGTACGGGGTTCAGACCAATGATAGTCCTGGACCTTATGCACACAATGGAATTAGTTTCGCGTTGATCCGTCCCACGAGCGTCGTGATCTGGTCCATAGAGCGTGGTGTGTCGCTGCTGAATTTTCTGCAATTTCTTCACGAATCGGCAACTTCTCTCTAGCTGTTCTCCCTGTTCGGACATCATCACGGGGCGTACCACATATTGGATTGTTCGTCTTGATGAGACGAATAAGCCCCCCAAATTTGGGAGTGATCGAACTTGGAACAAGTGAGTTATAGGCCCCAAAAATGACTGCCTGTGACTGTAAAAACAACCACCTTCAATGGTGTTTTGGTGCAGTGAGGCGACACGGGAATAGTGTGCGACCCCTCCTGTTTCAATGTTTTGCTCATATATTTGTTATGGAGTGTTCGATTAAATCGAAACTTGGCCCATATGGATTTTCAACCGTGTCGGGTCTAATAGCTGTGGTCCCACAGTAATTTGAGACATCGAAAATGTAGCTCTAGTTGTAGGGTCCATTTCAGGGTGCTAAATGTCACTTTTATGAAAACTGTTTCTTTGTGTTCACTACCTTAGACATGTCTGATCGTGATGAAATTTGGCAGGTGGTCTTTTGAAGTGATGATGATGATCTTGAGCAATTCTGGGGCCATTATGAGACTATAGACAATTTTTCACTGTTTTGTAGGCTTTATTAGCCTGCTTCCTACCAAGGACCAAGGTGCTGAAAAATACATTCAAACAATTTCGCCTACCTTCATCACCATCCAAACTTCATCGCATGGTCATATTTGTCCGGTTGTGTTTCAATTTTCATTTTTTTTCTACAAATCCAAATTACTTGAAATTTGGAACTTGTATACAACTTAGTGAGGCGCATCTAATAAAAATATAAAAAAAATACTTTGCAAAATATAAATTGACCAAAATACCCTAAAAAATTTATGGGGGTATTTTGGTTAATTTATATTTTATCAATTTTTTTTCCATATTTTTATTAGGTGCACCTCACTAAGATGTATACACGCTCCAAATTTTAAATCATTCCGATTAGTAAATAAAAATAAAAAATGAAACACTATCGGGTAACTGTGACCGTACAATGATGTTTGAATGGTGATGAGGGTAGGCGAAATCACTGTTCATTTTTGCCTATAGGTATTTTGTTGTATATATATATATATATATATGGGTGCAGTTTGTATAAAGCCTAGGCTCTAAACAATCAAATTAGAGCCTACCTTCAAATAGTATCGAGAAATGTGGTTTTAATATTGGAAATCGTTGTGATAGCCTTGAAATATATTAATATTTATTTATAAAGTTTAAAGCTTCAAAAATAGTGTAGATCGACAGATCTATGAAAACTTTAAAATCTTGAAAATTGACAGTCCAAAAATGTGTTACAAAATACATTGTTTCCAAAACTTGAAATCTATTTTTTTCTCATGTCCATGCATATTGATGTCGAGATGATCGATTTGAAGATATTTGGGCATCAAAACAACCTCTTCTAGTGAAAATTTTGATATAGGCTCAAATTTGATTGTTTAGAGCCTCGGCTCTATATAAACTTTTTTCTATATATATAGATACTACTGTTACCCCAAGGGCTAACTGGAAGATATGAGCCCGACGCCCCAGATTCTGATCTGACGGTCACGACATAATTTCTTATTTGAATTTTAATTTTTTTTTAACAAATCCAAATCACTGAAAATTTTAGGCATGTGTTTTTCTCGTCAAGCCGCACCTAATAAAAATATAAAAAAAATAATCCGTACAAATAAAATTAACCAAAATACCCCCAAAGTTTTATAGGGGTATTTTGATCATTTTTTTCATGTAACATATTTTTTTGGTATATTTCGAAGATTTACATATTTTTATGAACACACCTAAAATTTCAAGTGATTTGGATTTGTAGAAAAAATATTAAAATTTAAATACTATCAAGGATCCGTGATCGTCAGATTGGCCCAGATTCAATATGGGCCGTTGGGTTCATATCTTCCAGTAGCCATTGGGCTAACATGAAGATTTCATATATATATATATATATATATATATATATATCTCCTATCAGCCCATCGGTTGATAGAACAGTGTAACCTCAACGGCCCAAATAACACATTATTAATGGGTTCATTAACTTATCAAATCACAAATTGTGTGACATTAAAGTTTTGATCCATAGGAGTAATTTAATAAATTTCTCTATGATAAAACCCCGTTTAACAAATTATACAATGTTGCACACAGTGTTTTAAAATCGAAATTGTTGGCGTGGATCATCCCCTCACCGATCCGTATTGGATTACTAAATCTATGACATGGATTGGTCCAAATCAATAAACCAAAATATATTTAAAAACAAAAAACAAAATACAAATTAAAATAGAGGTTTATGAGCGGGGATTTAGGGAGAACTAAAAAAACATTAGAGAAGCTTTAAAAAAATAAATTTTTTTTATTTTTATTTTTTATTTTTTGTGGGGATAGGGATCGATCCATGATCTGAATCGACATTTTCTAATCCGGGTTGCCTGTTTTAAAAACATTATTTCATGCGTCAGGGGATACATCCATCTTAAAGATGGATGCAAATGAGTGGTCCCTCCAAATGAAATTTAAACCAATGATGTAAATATTTTCTTCAAATTTTTTTTAGAATTTTCATTTTTAGTTTTTAAAATTGTTTTTCTTTACAATTTCTAGATATTATATATTTCTTCATAATTAAATCCACAACAGTGTTTGAAAAATCAAACCGGCCTCGGAAACCAGCCAATGGCCGGTTTCGAGTAACCGGTAACCGGTTGGTTCAGTTGGTCAAATTGGGCAGGTCCCGACTGGTCCAAAAAGAGTAAAAAAAAAATAAAAAATAAAAAATAAAATATTTTTAAAAATGAAAAGTATATTTAAATCATGATTAAACAAAATACATCAAAATAAAGTAGAAAATCAATGCAAAAAATATATTTTAAAAAATCCATTTGTGCCTGGGGGTAGTTTTATATTTTTCTAAAAAAGATGGGAAAATTTTTAAGATAAGTGTTCATGGGCAAAACTCTTTACAATCTTTGACCAAATGATAAAAAAAAATCCAAAAACAAATTAAAAATGAACCTCTTATTTTTTGGGAATTTATATAAATTCTTTTGAATTTTTAAAATACCAGTCGGACCACCAAAACGAACCAAAACCGGATTGGCCAATGCTCGATTTTAATTTGACCGGCCGATTCTGAGTTGGACCGCCCGAGTTTGCAAACACTTGAATCGATACACAAAATTTGGGTCGAATCCAATAACTAAAAAGGAAACTTCCACCTCACAATTTGTAATCCACAAAGCATTACCATAAAAGTTCCTTGAGAAGACCCAGACATGTACAGTTTATATTCCTTGATAATATCCGAAAAAATTTATATGAAGGTCCCATATTATAAAAGTAAGGTGCTCCTCAAAACCAAATGAAAAGGTTGTTTTGTTATGCAGATAAACTCTCCAATTGATCATCTCAACTTAAATTATGAATAAAAAAGATTTCAAGTAGGAAAAATAGTGGATCATGTAACCCATTATGTAATTTGTCTATTTTCAAGTTTTTCAGTATTAATAAGTTTGTCCGGCCAGCAGCATTTTCGGAGTTTAGTTTCAGATTTAGGGGTGGAAATAAATTTGCAGGCAATTGTAGTGTCTTCGACAACATAACTGCACTTCTAATAGGAGTTAGGTGTGCCTTTGCTTTGATTGTTTAAAGCTTACATCTTTTAAAAATCCATGACAACAATACATTATTGAAGCACCCTCTCAATAATGTCATTTGACCAAGTTGAACTGATCATACCCATATATAACTGATACAAATAAAAAATAATATACAAAGTTGAACTGATCATACCCATATATAACAGATACAAATAAAAATAATATACAAAGTTGAACTGATCATACACATATATATAGATGCAAATAAAAAATAATATACAAAGTTGAACTGATCATACCCAAATGATCTCAAGCGGGGCTTGAAACTTGTAAATGGGAGACCACCTTATGGATGGCCTTTCAAGAAGGTCTTGCACAACTTTTTTATCACAACTTGTTCCAATTCCCCTTGTTCAAGGCTCTCTATGGTTTCCTTTGCAAACTGAGCCTGCACATGTTTGGTAGAAGAGCGATCAAAGTAACCACCACACACATTGATAGCTGGCAACACCAGGGCTTGGGTTTGGACCCAGCCAGGCCAGTCCCTACACACCCGGCCCTAGGCTTATCTAGGCTGGGCCGGATAGAAGAAAAATAAAACAAAGAGAAAATTAAGGAAAAGAGGGCTGGGCCCGGCCCTTGGGCCACATTTCATGGCTCGTGCCCTAGTCTTTTAGGGCCAGACTGAGGGTCGCACCGAGCCCATTGCCACTTCCATTGAAGCGAGAGGATAGAAGAATCAAGTGTAGCAATTTAAGAGTTAACATAAAAAAAAATTCACCAATAAATTTAATTGCTCATACAAGATAATTGATTTCAAGTTTTGTGGTTTGTACCATTATGTAATCAACACGAGATAAAGGTTACTGATTATCAAGGGAAATTTAGCAATATGTATCTAAGGGAAGAATTACTTAAAACCTTACCCATTGGTTTTGATTGGATTTCATAAAACCCGTCAAAATACACATGATAATTAAGTTAGAGTGGTCAAAAAAAAATGTGAAAATTAAGTTAGAATGGTTGAAAAAATGTGAAATGTTAAACAGTAATAGGTTCGATGTATTGCGATAAATCTCTCATTTGGGTGAGTTTTGTGGTCATAGCTAAAGCTAAGAAATACTATTTATCATGTATTCAACAAAATCATAGCAAAGCTTGGGAAAGAAAATGGAGCTGCGGCTTTCCCATAATGATAATTTGATGGTGCAGCCTATTTTATTACAACATTTTAAGAGATACGGGCTCAACACATGCCATAGTTCCCTCTTTTTTAACAAGTATTTCATAAAGAAGAAAATTGTATGAGGCATGGGTTTTCGAATATAAAAGTGTTGTCCTTGAAAGACCAAAAACATATTGATCATGTATGAAAATGAAAAAAAAAAGGGTTTTAAGTTCGTAAAACAATACATCTTGCAATACAGTATCTGCATTATCATTTTTCAAGTGATTAGATCTGCTTGATCTGTATCATTTTTAGAGCCTTAAAGTTTTGGATTATGTTAGGATACTCATATATGAGCAAGGTTTTAAAATTACCGATGTGGATCGAAATCGCCTAAACCAGATTGAAAATCATTGGAACCGGTCTAATTCCCGCTATATAACGAGAATCGGTTGGGTCCCCCCCTGAACCGCTGGCTCTCACAAGTTCTATTAGTAATCAGCCGATTGTGTTAGGATTGGACCAGATGGTGGGGAGGAACTTTGTCATGTGTATTGAATACGGTTTGAAAGGGGTATCTTTGAAATTTTTTAAAAAGAGGGTCAGTGGCCCTTGGGCTGATTTGGATCCAAAACCCAGATTCTGGACCCCATCCGAATCTGGGTATGGATCCAAGATTTGGATATGATGGATCGGATTTGGATCCAACAAGTTAGATCCAGATCCAAAATTTGGATTCAAATAATAATTCAAATCAGATCCAAGTACAAGTGAATTCTGGACCCTATCCGAATCTTGTATGGATCCAAGATTTGGATCCGATAGATCAAATCTGGATCCAAGTTTTGGATATAATGGGTCGGATCCGGATCCAACATTTGGATCTGAATAATAATTCAGATTGGATCCGAGTACAAGTGGATCCGATCAAATTACTAAAATATTACATATCATTTAATAATAACTTATTATTTTTGTTATATATTATTTTATATTACTCAGGTCTGGATCCATATCCCATGTATATTTTTCGGATCAAAATTTGGATCTGTATCCCATGTATACTTTTTGGATCCAGACCTGATCCGACCCATTCTCCGCCCTATTTGATCCACCCTATATCTTTTTTCTTTTTCCTTATTTCTAAAGTTAGGCCTTACCATTAGCTAGCCAAACAACTCAGGCACACATAGGGTGGCAATGAGGTCGGGTTCAGCTAGACCCGGACCTAAATAGTATTCAAATTCAAAACCTAGACCCAGACCTAACCTTTTGGGTCCAAAATTTGAACACATACTCAGACTCGTCGGGTCCCAGATCTAGTTGGGCTAACATGAAGATTTTCCCTATATATATATATATATATATAGGGTTTGTCTAGAATTAACAACCCCTCAAAATGCAAAAGTTCAAGTTAGAAGGTGTTGTGATCAGTGTATTTATCAAAACCATCATTACTTTTTTATTAAAAAATTATTTAAATAGGTAATTTTACCATTAAACAAGGACAAATTTGAAATTTTTACAAAAGTATAATGGGTGTCATTGTCTTTTAGTTAAAATTTCAATTTTACCCCTTATGGAGATGATAAAAATACCATTTGTCTTGTAGTAATATTTACAAATTTACCCCACAAAAGTAACTTTTTTTAAAAAATAGAAAATAAAATTATAAATCCACCCTTCACAACTCTCTCTATCTTGAACTTTTGTAATTTGAAGGGTTACGAAGTTTAGAATATCCAATATATATATTAACCATCGTATACCCATAAAAGCCCACATCATTCGGATAAGGTACGAGTCTAGACCCAACCTTTTGGGTCCAAAATTAGGACCCATACCCAGAACTAAGGTCGCGTCTACCTATCGGGTCCCGCGTATCGTCAGATCCATTGCCACCACCCAAATTTCAAACCATTTAACTTCATTTGCCATTTCACTGGAAAATTAACTTGAAAATTTTGGGGCGTTGAAATTTTATGGGCCGCCTCCAAAATTTTGCTTCAACCAAAAATAAATTTATTTGCCCAAAGAAATAAATTTTGAGGTCAATAGCGTGGGAAATCTTAAAAAACAAGGACAAATTTGGGCACCATTAGTCCATGTCCCCACTTCAAAATCTGTTTCCATGTTGCTCTATCCATTTGTCTCATTGCAAACATAAACTTATTTTTTAATTTTATTAAAATATGATTTCAAATATATGTTTCTAAATTTTGCATTTATATTTGTATTATTTCTTATACCTTAGATCTATTTATTTGGCAACATATACTTTTTCGCTTTTTTTTAGAAATTGTAACCATGTGGCAAGACTTCATAAATGATTTATTGCTTTTTTAAAAAAAATTCATAAAAATAAAAAAAAGCCCTATAGAATAGCGAAAAGTATGTGGGGTGAGAAAGCAAAATTGATGGAAGATCATAGTTTTTTCTCATATTGCCATTTTGGTTTAATAAAAACTAACTCATTATGAGGGTCATAGCTTTTTCTCTCTCTATTATATCAAAAGGTCCAAACATATCGTATGATTGATTTTTTTTCACTATAAAAATTTGAGTTAGAAAGATCAATTTTATTACAACGAGTTGTAATTTAAATCTTATATTGACCAAATGAATGTAGTGGATAACAATCGCTCAAACATGAGAAGTTCTCAATATTTATGTAGTTTTAGTAAAATAATTAAAAGAATAATGCAATACCATTATTATTTTTCGAAAACCTAAAAACTAGATTTTAATGTAATTGTTGTATTTTTAAAAAGTTTTAATCCCAAATCTTTGCCGATTCGGCCTATTTTTTTATTCGTAATGCCGATTCACCAATCCGACATAGTTTTTTAGGTACCCCATCAAGGTTACTGATCCATTTTTTTAAACCTTGCATATGAGTATTTCCTTAAGGTACTCAACATTTCTAAATATTTCATACCATTATTCCATCATGTAGTAACTTTTGGGTGAGTGTGGTCATTAAAGGCCTTATGAGTGTTTGTAAAATGAAATGATACAATGGAACATGAACTGATAAGGTCATTAAAGGCCTTTTGAGTGCTTGTGGCCTCTCGTAGATCATACTAAGCAAACAGTGTTTGCTGATGCCGGATTGAGCTCGACGAGCTAGGGCAGTCGATTGGAAAAAACCTATGTTACTTAGGCATAAAAAACTATCTGATAAGGGTTATAATAGTAGGTCATCCCCTGATGATATTGGAGTATTCCCGGATGAGTGAGTTGAGAGACTGTGTGACCATTGTGTGTGATGGTAGCCTTCAAAGACAGGAGCCAAAGCCTCACCGGCATGCATAATGATAACCATTTGGGAAAGCGAACCACCTTTTAGGGTGAAGCTTATGTATATGCGGGAGATACCCTTATGTGTTAGATGAGCTGTGGTCACATCAAGTCTAGGTGACCTTGGTGCGTCTCTAAGGGAGAATCTAAAATCCACAAGAATTACGATCCCTTGGCTCATTGGTCAAACTTTGGCGACCCACTAACGAGCCCCTGCATGGATTATAGGTCATGGGAAACACTGGGTCGATTTGATAGAGCAAGTATGGACTGTAGTCCACAATTGAAGTTGGAGTGGCCCAGTGTTTATTTATTTAATTCCTATACCATATGGATCATTTTCTCATCTAATGAATTTAATTATGTTTGTTTTAATGATATATGATTTTTAGAATTATTATTTGAATTTTTCTAGAGCTCTAGATATTTTATTTATCAAATTTGGATTTATAAAAACAGAGATATTGATTTTAGATTGATTTAAATATTCAAATTTGATTTTATGGATTTTTAAAAATCATATAATTAATTTTAATAATTTTAATGTTGCATAGGATATCCAATATGTTAATGGGCTCGTAAAGTATACTTAGGGTGGCACACCCCACCCTAATGAAACTTTCTTTGTGTTAGTTCAAATTTTGGCTTGAAGAGAAAGCTTTGAAGTGTCTTGAAAAGATTTTGCTTTGAGGAAACTTTCAAAGGATTTTTTGAAAGCATGAGAAGGCTGCATAATTTTGGTAAGTGTTATATTATTAATAAAATTATTTTATTTGATTTCTATTGATGAGAAAATGGTTCAAAAATAGGGGATAAAAGTTCTAGCACCTTTCATAATGTCGATGGCCCATTTATGAAATGGAAGATTCAAATCTCTCACCCCACAAGTCACCCAAGATCAATGATTCATATTCAATCGCACAAGAAGAAACAAGCTAAAAAAACCATAATCTTGTTCAAGCACAATAAAAAAGGAATTGATCCCTACCCAAATCTTTACACCTAATTCCCATATCTATCTCTCATATTCTACAAAGGTGGCACGCTCCACTTAGAATATCTCTTTCTCTTTTACAAAAGTTTCTCTCTCTTTCTCAAGAGATCCAAAGGGGGACACCATACTCTCTCGTCTTTGATATCTCTCTCATGGTGGTTCTCTTAACCCTCTCATGATCTCTTATCTCTCATTGGGGTTTTAGATTATAGAGTTTGGTAGGAAAAAAAAATATTTCTCTCAAACTAGGGTGTTAAGGGGATTCACCTAAGGGTTTGAAATTTGTGATAAAGGAGTTTATAGGTCTATTATAGAGCAATGATTGTTTCTTAACTACTACTAAAATGCCACTAAATGTTTTTAAAAATATCCATCATACCACTGTTAATTATAAAAAATGCCCTTGCATTACAAACTAAGGGGCAATGAGTGATCCAACAATATTAAGTATATTAAAGAAATACCAATACTCTTAATCTAACCCATTCATAATTGGGGCTGAAAATAAAAGTACTCTTATTCTAAGCCTTTCATAATTGGGGCTGAAAATAAAATTTCAGGCTAACATAAATATGAAAATTTTACATCTTTTGCGAGGTTTGGTAATGCGCTCCCGTGATTATTTAAGGTTTGACATCTTATATAACATACACACTCTCACAAAATAGGGAAAATTATACTTGATATTCAATTTTATGTTCATAATTGCTAATCCGAAATCCCAATAATCAAGTTAAACGATGGTTCAAGTCCAAGCAATGGAAAAGAGAAAAACCACGTGTTGGATAGCCATAAAAAAATAAAAATAATAATAAATAATAAATAATAAAAATTAAGGATTAAAAAAGGAGTTTTGATTGCATACAGTAATTCCGTTCTGCACAAAAGCATCACTCGTTGTGTCTCTTACAAATTCCTTTGTAAGCTCAGGATGGAATTGCATACCAAGAATATGGTTTCCAATTGAAAACATTTCTACTCCTGTTTTCCTAGAAGATCCAAGAATCAAAGCATCTGGAGGAAGGCACTTAACCTGAAAAACAATTTTGCAAATTTTTAGGAGTACAGGGTACAATCACATGTGGAAAATTTTCAATATGGGCTATAACTACAAGATAAATGCATAATTGAGACACCTAATAATAGTTTGTGAAGAATTAGAATAAAACCTTTATGAACTTCTAACTTGAACCAACAAAAAAAAAACGGAAAGGAGGATTTTGTCAAAATTTAAGATTAGATAAGTGCTTTGCAACGCACATTATTTATTGGCTTTTTTCCATGGGTATTATTGTTCAAAAATTAAAAAATTATATAATAAAGAAATGTCAATGTAAATATCATGTAATTACAAAAATTAATTGCACAGTAACGGTGAGCTCTGGGCCATATAATTTTAAAACCACGGCTCAATATCTCTACCAAAGGTTTCTGGGGGGTTTAAGTGTTCACAGATCAGTTAGATCTTGTCTTTTTTAGGAGTTTCAAATTTCATATTATTTAAATTTACCAATCATACATTTTCTTGTTACGTTTTAAGGTGCGGTTTTACTTTTCATAAAGCTTCGGCCTTTCAAGAACTGCATCGCCATTATAATATGCAACAAGACATTTATTAATCATGTACTTCTGTTCATAAATAGATTGATACCTGATCTTGATGGATCTCAATAACTTTCACTTGTGAAGTTACGTCTAACCCAAAGAGTTCTTTGATTCTCTTTGTATCCAGGTTAATAGTGGATAAACCAATATCCCATCCACTTGGATCTCTTCCTGTTGAACCGCCGAATGCACGAGCCAAAACCTGTTCTCATTATCACAAAATTTAATAGAAGTATTGTTATATAACTTTTGGTTCAAGTATGCTCAGAAGTGTTAGGTTTCGGTGATAATCAAAATCACCACATATATATTTCATTCAAAAATTGAGGGTATCATGAAAAAGAAGGAGGAAAATTTTCGTATAGAACTCTAATTCCTTGCATTATTTCATGTAAGACCATCTTTTCTTTTTGCTTTCAAACACCTTTTAAAGATTTCATCATACCCCATCATCTCTTATCTCCCTCTTTTAGAGAATTTTGATCATAAAAATTAGACTCAACAAATTTTTTTATACCATTTCAATCCAAAAAGTTTTTGGGATGAAATGATATAAAAATATTTGTTAGGCCTAATTTGTATGGTATAAAAGAGGGAGATAAGAGATGAGGGTGTATGATGAAATCCTTAGAGATTTTCTTATGCCGCTTGAAAAAAAAATAGAAAGAGGGTATACCATAAAATAAAATGAGAAATTAAGATTGTATACGAAATTTTCCCAAAGAAAAAATGAGCTTCCTTGGTGAACAATAAAGAAGCCCAAGTGATGTCTATAAAAGATGGCTAAGAAAGATATAATACTCTTTTTGATAGTCACCTCTTTGAGGGTTATGGGAAGGGATCTCCAAGATGGAAATTGGTCTCCAAGAGAGAGACATGGCCTCTGAGAGAGAGGCAGTATTCTCATGAGTTTTGGGTTGGTAATACTTCCACTTTAAGAGAGAGAAAATCTCTCGGTTTGTCTCGTGATTATCTTTCCGGTAGCAATAATGCGATGGGAAAGAAGGTACTGACTGACAGTATCGCTCAGTTGGGAGGGCAAGTTTAGAAGGGAAGATCGGTGATAGTCATTTACGGATGTTTAGATATATGTATTATCTCTTATAACCGAAAACTTTAATCTTCATTGAGATTGTGAATTTCTATTTGTCACGACCGTGGATGTAGCCCTACGTGGTGAACAACGTAAATTATGTGTAGTTGTGGTGTTATTTTTATGTTTTCTTTATTTTTTGCACTTGATTTATAATTGTATTCATCTACTTTGCATTTAACCAATCATGTATACGATCTTGGGTAGGATCCCGGTATTTGGGATTATCTTTGCAGACTAGGGTTCCTGAGAACCCTACAAGAAGCTTATGCATGGTACATGGAGTTTTTTTTTTTTCTTTTTTTCTTTTTTTTTTCAAATGATTAAAAAAAAGAAAAAGCTTGCATAAGGTGTTAACCTAGAAGTAAGGTGCACCTCAAAAACCTATATAAAAAATTTATTATGATGTTGGATTCTTGAATTGATAATCTTGACTTCGAGATGTATGGATATGAATAAAGAAATTTCAAATCCTAAAAATAGTGTATATTATAACATATTATTTAGACCGTCCATTTTAATGATTTTTGAGTCATTAGTTTGATCCGCATTATTTTTGGAACCTTAAAACTTTTATAATTAGGACTAGAAAAATATTTTCAACTCATCATAAAAAATTATTCTGATGTTGGATTCTCGAATTGATCATCTTGATTTTGAGATGTATGGAAATGAATAAAGGAATTTCAAATCCTAAAAATAGTTTATATTATAACATGTTATTTAGACTATCCATTTTTAGGATCTTTGAGTCATTAGTTTGATCCTCATTATTTTTAGAACAATAAATTTTTATAATTAAGACTAGAAAAAGATTTTCAACTCACCATATAAAGTTTCTGGCACAAAAATAGCATAGGGCAATAGAATTTGAAGGTGCAACTTACTTTAATAGGTTAAGGTGGACATCTTATGTAGACGTCACCCAGAAAAAATATTAATAAAAAAGGATTGCAGTTTCTTGTCATTTGTCAGTGATCCAGGCCTGATTTAACTTAAATAGACTCCATATTATGCTCCTGCAGGAGCATATTATATAGTTACTCCGTGAGTTACTTGGGAAGGATTCACTTAACAATTAGTAGATGATTATTTCCATAAAATAAATCTTGAATATTATGTTCTTCAATTCTTAGATCTCACCTCCGAAAATTAGATGGTCTCTTTTCAATCTTGGGATGTTATTTTTTCAAGGAAATACCAAGCTAAATTTTATTTATTTTTATTTTTATTTTTTATGTTGATTGCTAAGTTAAAGAAGTAGATCCCAAAAAATTGGAGTCTTAATGTACTCCAGTCAAGGGTGTAGATCGTCAATATGCTCGCGGAATCATGAAGTCATCTAAATCAAATCGGTTTGATGCTTGAACCATCTGTCGAATATCCTCTCTTGGAAAGATATTTAGTGCTCTAGTGGGAGATTTGATTTAACCCAAAAGCTTCAAAACCATATTTCTTTTCTCCCTTAGATTCATGTAAAGTTTTGATAAAATTTGACGTTGTCTTAGATCAACTCTATAAAAGTTCATTTGGGAGCTAAAGTGTTCTATAATTAAATTTGCCTTTCAAGATTGACTTCAGGCTCACCATTTGATGGATTGTTGTAGGGTTTAGGAGCAAAAAATACTTTTGATGGCATTCAAATATTCGGCTCACAAAAGTCTTAAATCTCTCTTTTCTTGTAAATACAACGAAATACTTTGTTGTGTTTATGTGGCCTTTAATGGCCTTATGAGATATTGTATAAAATATTTTAAACAAATAGAATATAAACTCAGTGGGAGTGTGGTCCTATTGTGGACCATACTAGCAAATATTATTTGTTGATATTCGGACTAGGCTCAACGAGCTAGGCCAGCCGAGATTTAATAAAACCCAAGATTACAGGGCATAGGGATCTAACCGAGAAGGATTTAGTTAGTTAACCCTTGATGAGATCGGTATACGCCTGGATGAGATCCGAGAGACTATCGGTGTATGCCTGGATGAAAGCCGAGGAACCGTATGGCCCTTGCGTGAGATGAATAGCTTTTAGATACAGGGCTAAAACATCATCGTTATATCATCATACGGCATGTACATAAATAGCTGTTTTGAGATTCGCCAATGAGGGTCAAGTATGTACATGTGCGACAGATTACCCCTATGCCCCATAGAGTCATGATTGCATCATAGTCTAGAGGACCGTGATATTTGTCTCTAGGGAAGAACCTGAAATCTATAAACTGGGATTGCATCCCCTAGTCTACTGGCTGACTTTGTTACTCCAATCATAAGTCCCTGCAGTGGACTGTGGGTCATGAGAACTACTGGGTCAGTTTGAGAATGCTAGACGGATCGTGATTGGCAGTTGAAGGTGGTGTGCTCATATAAATTGATAATTTTCTAGATCTAACGGATCTGATTCCCATTAAAATTAATTAATTTTATGTTAAGTGATTTTATACAATGTTTATTTGAATTTTTGTGAATCTTCTTATATTTTATTTTTGTCCCTTGGATTTATAAATTAAAATAAATTAATTTTTCAACATTTTAAATAAAATATAAGATTTAAAAATTCTAAATATAAAATAAAATAATTTCTAAAAGTATATGGGACCTCCCTAAAATATGGGGCCCAAAATTTAAAAACATGAGAATTGGGTGGGCCCACACGTGGCCACCAAAAGGGGTGGCACTCCCCACCCTTTGACATTCCTCCTCTTGTTTTAGTTATAGCCAATTATATGATAAGGTTGACTATTTGAGATATTTACTAAATCTTTGATTCAAGATTAGTTTATCCAACAATTAAGAATGGTTTATATTAAAATATAAACTTTCCTCATTTGATAGCGATATTGATTCAATAATTAAGGATTGGATATATTAAAATAGAAACTTTCTTTATTTGATAGGAATATATGTAGGAAAGTCAGGAAAATGGTCTAGCTCATTTGATGGGAACAGCTGTAAGAAAGGGAGGATAATGCTCTAGCTCATCTCTATATGTAGGAAAGTGAGAAAAAGGGTCTAGCTCATTTGATGGGAATAGCTGTAAGAAAGGGAAGATAATGCTCTAGCTCATCTCTTTAAATCTTGATCGTGGATCAAGCATATGGATGATTCAAATCTCTCACTGCACAAGTCTTTTTAAATCGAGGGTTGAGATTTCACCTGCAAAAATCTCTCAGGATTGAGATTAAATATCTCACCCCACAAATCTCCCTAGATCGGGTGTTGAGATTTCACCTACTAATTGAGGTGAAATGGAGGTCTCCTACCTCATAAAAGTGTATAAGTATTCTCTCCTCTCTTTAAGAATTCTCTCTCTCCCTATCCCAAATTTTACCCCCTCTCTAGATTCTCAAAGGGGAGGCACACCCCAATTTATCTCTCTCTCTCTCTCTCTTAGTTTTTATCTTTGTGTTTTGGGTGGCACGCCTAAGCCTAGTCAAGGTTGTGTCTATTGTGCTATGATACTACTTGTTGTGTGCAAAAGCCCTAAACCCGATGGGTTGATTTTTTGACAAATAAAGTATGATAAATAGATCATGAAATACACATCATAAAAACATAAAGATTTAGGCATCTACAGGCACGGCAAACAAAAATCCACTATACCAATAAAAGTTACATCAAAGATTTTAGAACAAACCTCGACAAAAATCCCAAGTCGAGAAAACCCCTTTGAACAACTTTCCATTCATTCTCTTTACTTCTAACAATATCATTATCGACAACACCCGCTATTCATTCTCTTTACTTCTGGCAATATCATTACCAACTACACCCGATAGAGACACGAGAGCAATGAGAAACTGACTTTTTCTCTAACTAAAAAGAAACCACCCAAAATCTCAATGGGAACCGCTTCTCTATAAGAAACAAACAATAATTAAAAGGGAAACCACCCAAAATATCAATGGGAACCGCTTTTCTATAAGAAACAAACAAACCTTTCAATCTTCGAGAGTCTAAAAGAGGCACCAACACAATGTTTATCTCCATACGAAGCTTTTTTCTCAAAGAAGAAATTGCATCTTATGCACATGAGTCCTATACTAAATAGAAAACTTCCTATTGATGTTACATATCTCTCAAAAGACTAAGAGATAAATCCAAGA